AGATGCTGTGCTCGGTGCTAAATCCATTTTTCACTAAAACTGAAAATCCTGCAGACAAAAACAGACCCACCAAAATTATTAAAAAAACTTAGCGAATTGGGTACCTTTGTACCCAAACGGCAACGCTGCTAATTAAAAGAACTACACCAAACGAGAGCGGCATGCCTCTCCTGTTCGGTGAAATAGTGGGCGGAAAATAAAATAAATCATGTTGAATTTCGCTACATAATATGATGTCTAATATGCCAGACAGAGCAATGGCGTGAAGCTTGCCTCGGCTATAATTTTTAAAGAGAGAATGAGATGTACAGATGATATACTAGCTGCTGGCGCGGAGAATGGAGATGGACCCGTTGTTTATTTAATATTTTGTGGTTTAAGCTTGTCTCTTGTCCGGCCCGTAGATTATGAAGAAATATACAAAGATAAGACATCAGGGGTGTACATATTTTAATTTTTTGTCATAATGAAAATAAAGTTATTTAGAAAATTCCAAAAGTTAAATTGTAGTTAAAGAACGTAAATAGTCGATTGATACTGGTGAGGCACTGCCTCACCTGCCTCATAGGACCAGCCGCCCCTGTTTATGGATTGGTTCTTGGATACGTTTGTTACCTTTAATTATTCGAAAAACGTACGTATCGTACGAGCCAATACTTTCGTTGAATCTCTACACAATGCCGCGGCGTCCACTATAAGCATATTTTGATATCTTCTACGCAATGTCTCATAAACCGATTTTATCATTTGCTTTTCTCTCATAGATAACCATCTTTTTTATTTTGTTTATTAACAGATGTACTGCACATTGGTTGATGCCATGATATTATCCGACGGTACGCTCATGAAACACTACCAGGCACCTAATTTTAATGTTTATTTGTGGATGAGTTTTCAGAATGTTGCCGTATTGCATTTGTTCTCGGACGCGACTAGTTCACGTTCGAGACGCATCGCCCCGCCCCTTATTTTTCCCGTTAACCCCTCCCTGACCTGGAAATCCCTAATCGCTACTTCAGAAAGTATAAAAATAGGCGATTTTCAGGTCAATAGGTCATGGTCAGTCCTTCACGGGCTCTCCGAGAGCTCAGTGCTCTCGGGGCTCTGCTTTTCTTTTAGCCCTACCTTTACTCTGTGGCTGAGTTATTCTACAGTACTTTGGTGTTTTTATTTCGACCTTCATTTGGTTATGTAAGAAATAACTTGCCTTTACCAAGGCAAGTCACCGAGAGAAGAGAACCTGATGGTTTATTTCGACTTAAATATTTTTTTGTCGTGTAAGAAATAACCCGTCTTGTTCAAGACGGGTACATCAGCTGAAATTTCTACAAGTCTGTACCCAGAAAATAGACTTGGGTAGAGGTGCTTTCGTAGGCGTTCTCGAAGCCCTCTACAGAGCACCCAGAGGCAGATGATTGACGTTAAAACTTTTTATCACGTCCCCTGCAGTGACACATTAATAATATTACTTTGAAAAAGAAATATATAACGGTATCCGCCTGTCTCGTTATTGGTACTCAGGGTATACCCCAATGGCACGGATAAGCTGCAAGTGGTACTAAATAATAAATTTCGCAACAAGGCGAGTCTACCTTCTCGAGTTCGAACTTCCAACGGATGTAACCGGCCAAAATGATAATGAAGTAGTGGATTTGTGTGATAATAGAGAAATAAATATACAGTCGCTTACCACCGAGTGTTAACGAACTACATAATGTCTGCCCTGACAATCCTATTGAGTTCAGGGAATAGTATATCGATTACTTATTTTAAGTTGCTTAATGCGCCTCAAGAGCTTTTCAGATAAAAAAGAAACTATAAAGTATTCTTTAAAATCTTTATTATTTCCTTGGTACTTCTTCCTTAATGCTTCAATTTTTTTTAATCTTATCTCTTTCACTGTTAGTATATTATCGCATGAAATTAAACTTAGGATACTTAGAAAAGAAAGAATCAAGAATGTATAAAAATAATTCTTTATTAGTTAAATATAAACTACATTAGTATGTTTAAGTAGTTTAAATGCTTTTTAACCTTATAAAAATTCTTTCCGTAGTTTTTGTTACGAAGGTTTGTTCATCAAATTGAAGTGGTGATTTGGTATTGGGACTGGCAAAGACTTTAAAGTTACGGAGTACTGATACTAATGCCAGTTTTACTTGCATCAATCCAAATCTTGATCCTACAATATCATTTTTATTAATAAGACACAAATATATATATATATATATAGATATATATTAATTACTATTTAACTGGGAATAAGCCACAATTAAAGATAAAAATACGTTTATTGACGTTTCAATTTCCACTTCGGAAATCGTTCTCAAAATACAAAATTTACTGTTAGTACCCTCTTTCCTTTGTCCTCCGAATATTCTCCATATTTCTTGTTGTGTTCCGTAAAAATTTAACTTAAGGAGTAGAAGAGACATAAAATAAACACGAAATAATAAACAGAAGGAAAACAACAGAGATAATATCGTATACCTTTATAACTACACAATTTATTTCCAATGCGTTTTTAGTATATTATGAATTTCGTTTGCTTTTTTGAGATATGCCATTTTTCTGAGTTTGCCATCCGGTCTTCTTTCCCTTTGGCACAACTTTAAAGCGTCTGTTACGTAGCAATGACCTAATGATCTTTACTAGATCGTAGTCAAGCGCAGTGTTATAATATGTAGATATTCAGCAGGATTCTATGGTTTATTGTATCGTATGCCACCATGAGTTTACCAAGTCTACCCCGACTAGTTATCTCTATGCTCAAATGGACTTCTTTATGTATTCTGTTATGTTTATTACTTGACCTACTTAAAATTTGATAGGCCTGAAGCCTACTTGTTGTTGTATAATTAGATTTTTGCGAGTGATATAGCAGGGATATCCGACAGTTGCTTATCAGTATGGCTGGGTATTTCTTATGTAGTTCGGTTTTAGAAGGGCTACTTCTTCACTTTTAATCTGTGCCCAAATTTTGGGATCTGGTAGTTAGAATGGCAGTTGTTAAATATGCCAAGCATTTATTGTGTCGATTTTAGTCCGAAGTGCGTTATCTACTATTAGTACTTCATGCACTTTTTGAACACTTTAATTCCTTTTCGCAACAAATTTTTTTCTGTTCTTGCGTTCTCCTTATTTACGGTGCTTTACATCGATGGTTCGCATTACCATTCCAGTAGCAGTTAGTATGCTATCTGATTTGGCATTACTGCGAGTGGGTGTTTTACCTCTATGGTGATAACCATACCAATAATTGAAACTACAGAGTTTTTAGGATTGTGGCCATCCTATTTGATAAAAAAGAAATTAAACTTAAACATAAACAAATGTAAACTAATATTACCTATACAATTTCTAGGCCCGTCTCCGAAAGGAAAATATCCAATATGTTTTTCATTTTTATCTTGAAATCTATTTATATCCCATTTTAAAGGATCAGGATAATATTCTGGGTCGCGGGTATATCCTAAAAGTGGAATTATTATGGGAGTTCCCTTTTTGACAACAAAATCGCTGCCTTCGAATTTATAATCCTTTACACAAACTCTATTTAATGTAGTTAGAACAGGATACTTCCTTGCCGTCTCTAGAAATTGGAAAGAAACATATTAATATAGGCATTTATAAAGTTTAATATAAAAAATATATTACATACATATTAATAGGCAAGTTAATCCGCTCATTTAAATTTCTTTTGATATAATAGTGGCATGTGCAATTGTCTAAGCATAACCATTAAAATATCTAAAGAAGAAGATATTGATGTATCCATTTAACACGTTCCCTGCCTAATATAACTTAGCATTTTTACCCCGTGGTAAAAATCATAACTGTTACGATAAACTATATTACACTAAAATTTTAGTTTTTTGTAATTAATTTTTTTCTTTGCTTTGTATAATTTCTTATATCGTTTCTTATATAACAAAAAAATGGATAGTGTCATACAAGCGTATAGTTTCTTATATCAGAAACGATACAAGAATTTGTGTCCGCTGCAGTTTCTTGTACAAGAAATGCCCCAATTTGTGCACAAAGCAGCAAAAACGTAAAACTGCTGTCATAATGGCGGCTGGAGGAGAAGTTTGATATACATTTAGACCAGGCAGACATCAGAGAAAAGTGCCCACCAACAATAACCAAGATTAGAACAGCAGTAGCCAAATTGTAAAACAATAAATCACAGGGATTTTAGCAAATAGCATCGGAACTACTGAAAGTAGGAGGAGATGTATTACTAAAAACAATACATAACCGCTCTAAAAATTCGTGATGAGTTTAAAGATTATTTTATATCTCCAACTAAGAAAGTAGGATTTCAATAGCATGCCATTCAAATGCATAAAAAAACAAAATAAATTACTACAACCAAATTATTTATTATTTCTGCCTTTCATTACAGCCTGCTGAATATCTTCAAAAATTGTGGTTTCCAATTTAGTTTTAATATTGGAACATTTTATTTCTTTCATTTTTGCACCACAGTATTTAAAAAAATAATCAGTAGAATCTGGCTTGGGGTCCTCATGTACTGCAGTTTTATTTTTATATTTGTCAAAATTTCGACCAATCATGTGCCGAATAACATACAATTTCTGGTAAAAGAACTTGCATAATGTCATACAGAGCACAAATGTACGTGCAAGAAACGATACAAGAAGACACAAATAACATTCCATGTCAGAAACGATATAAGAAATGTACGAAGAATGTTGCGTTTCGATTTAATTTGAGTCTCTTACCACTCCCTGACACGTGTTTCTGGGTCTACCCGTCATCAGAAGGAGTTTGTAAGAAGACTCAAACCAAATCAAAACGCACCGATTACTCTGGCAATTACATAAATATAACTATCAGAGTATGCAACTCGAGTCCTCTAGTGAGGAAAGATGAAGATACGTCGATAGCAATTAAAGTAAACTGTGTACCCAAGCTTAAACAAGCCATTCAGAGCGGTACTGAGAATAAATATTCCACTATGTACCAACAATTTACCCATATAAATTACCATCAATTTTGTACTCATTGCGTCGAGTAGGGACGATAAATATACGAAGAATGTTGCGTTTCGATTTAATTTGAGTCTCTTACCACTCCCTGACACGTGTTTCTGGGTCTACCCGTCATCAGAAGGAGTTTGTAAGAAGACTCAAACCAAATCAAATATAAGAAATGATACAAGAAAATGCATAGTATCATACGGCCTTAACATTCGCGCGCCAATTATATAGTAACCTCACAGTCCTCCTATCAGTTTGGTTTACAGAGATACGCAAGTATTTGAGTTTTAGTGTGTGTTTGGGTTATAATAATAAACTTATATGTATGTATAATACATAAATGATAAACGTACATGTGTTGTTACTATAAAGGTAAGACTAAAACAACAAAATTTATTTGTATTCACAAATTGCTTATTTTAGAGTTCTCCCCTCCTCAACTTATTTCATTAGAGACTATAAATTGTAAACGCATGCCGAAAATAGATCACTTGAGAAAGGCAATCAGCCGAAACAGCTGTAGTAATAATAGTTAAAATAAATTTTGTGGAAGTTTGAAAACAAAGTTTTCAGTGTTTTATTGTTACAATTATGTATAAATTAATTTTAGTGCAAATAAATTAGTGTAAGACTGTCTACAAATAAATACATAAAGACTAAATAAAATATGTGGTAAGAACATGTTTAATACATGAAATAGGGTAAATAGGAGATAATAAAAACATAACATTACCATTAAAAGCTTGATCTAAAAGCTTCATCTCTTTCAGTACATCGTATGATATTTTATCGTCGTGTTTCTTCAATACAGCATTAATTTCTTCCCGGATTTTATCTTGAACATCTTGGTGCAAACCTAGCTCAAATAATATGAAACTGCTAGACATCGAAGAAGTCTCAAATCCAGCGGTGAAAAACAAGAATGCCTAAAATATATTATAATGATTTAAACTTTGTTAAAAATGGTATGTATATTTTAATATACGAGTAGGCTGTTCAATAGGTTTTGCCGTACGATAAAAAAAAACACAATTTTATGGCTTGGAATACACTTTTTTTATTCAGTATAGACTCTCTGAATATCAATACACTTATCCCATTTCCATTTCTGAAGTGAGAATCTGTAAGTGTAATAAAATATACTTCCACAGCTGTTACGACCTCATTATTTTATAAAAAATGCTTTTTTTAGGATTTTTTCTTTTTTTTTTGTGAAAAAGAACCATGCTTTTTTAAACAAATTTTTTACATTAGAAAAGCGTGAAAAGCGTACAATACTATTCAGAAATTATTGTTTTACCAGTTTTACCATTACAATTTTCCAAATAATCTACTAAAAATTTGCCTTTTGCGTCACAAAAAAATTGATGCTACCACTTTTGTGGCCGATTTCTGGATACGAACTCCTTTCGGAGCCGAAGAACCAGATTTACATTATTCTTTTCCCTCTTGTCTTGATTAGGATTATCGTAATAGACCCTAGTCTCATCTAAGTAATAAACTGATGCACAAAATCCACTTTACATTTTTAACAATGCTTTAGTTGTGTCTAAGAAAGTCGCATTCGAATCTGTTTTTATTGTATTGTTATCGAATGCGGCACCCATTGTAAATACAGCTCTTTGACTACTACACCTCACTCGATAATTTTCCAATACGACATCCTGTATTTTTTGACGATTTCTGAAGCTGTTGCTGTTTTTGAACGTCTTTGGTGTAGACCGCCCTTAAGGCATGTACGACCACGTTTGAATTTAGCAATTTATCTTTTTATTGGTAGCCCAGGCTCTGTGATTTTACACTTCTTCTTCTTCATGTACCATGTCCTTTCAGAACGTTGGTTACCATCATAGCTATTTTAATTTTATTCACTGCCACCCTAAATAGCATGCTTGTATCTACACCATACCAATCTCGCAAGTTCTTCAACCATGAGGTTCTTCTTCGTCCTGGACTGCGTTTGCCTGCTATTTTTCCTAGCATGATATTTTGTAGCAATCTATATTTGGGACCTCTCATTACATGTCCGAAATATTCCAGCTTTCTCTGCTTGATGCTTTTTATGATCTCAGTAGTCTTGCTGAGACGTTCAAGTATTATGGAGTTACGAATCTTCTCCACCCAGGAAACTTTTAAAATTCTTCTATAGAACCACATTTCGAAAGCATCAAGGCGATTTAGATCGATTTTATTCACAGTCCAGAACTCGACAGCATAAAGTAAGACCGAGAACACGTAGCAGCGAAGTAGGCGGATCCTTAATGTCAGTTTTAGGTCTCTGTTACATAACACCTTGGACATCCTTCTAAAAGCAGCTCTAGCCTGCTCTATTCTGGATCTAATTTCGCCGTGATTTTCTGCATTACAATTTAATTGCTGTCCAAGGTAGACGATTTTATCAACTTGCTCAAGTTTGGTATTATTTACATATATAGACGGTTTTATATTCTGTTGTTTACTTATTACAAGTATTTTGGTTTTCCTTATGTTCAGATCAAGACCTGCCTCCCTACAACTCTCAACGACACTATCAAGTAGTGTTTGCAGATCTTCTTGACTAGAAGCTAGGAGTACTGTATCGTCCGCATATCGCAAATTATTGATGACTTCGCCGTTCACAAGTATTCCTTCTTGTTTTTCAGAAAACGCTTTTCTGAAAATTCTTTCGGAGTAAACGTTAAAAAGCAGAGGTGACAAGAGGCATCCCTGCCGTACTCCTCTTTTAATATTGAGAGCTTGTGATTCCACACCATCTACTAAAACTGATGTTGTTTGATTCCAATATAAATTTGCAATTATTCGAACATCTCTGCCGTCCAAGCCTATGTCTTTTAGAGCTTCGATCAGTATAGAGTGCTTAACACGATCAAATGCTTTTTGAAAGTCAATAAAACAACAGTATATGTCTACAGATATATCACGACATCTTTGAGCAAGTACGTTCATTCCAAACAGTGCCTCTCTCGTTCCAAATCCGTTACGGAAACCAAACTGAGTGTCATCCAGGTATTCCTCACATTTATTGTAGATACGACCATGTGTTACCTTCAGAAAAATTTTCAATAAGTGGTTTAACAAACTGATGGTTCTATAATCAGCACAGGTTTTTGCTGTTGTTTTCTTAGGTAGAGCTATAAACAGTGAGTTAGACCAACCATTAGGTAGTTGTCCGCTGGTATAAATGGTATTGAAAAACGAAGTTATAGCCTCTAAAACATTGCTATCCTTTATAAGCTTATATATTTCAGTTGGAATTTCATCAGGACCAGTCGCTCTGCCATCTTTTGATGATTGTATGACCTTTATAACCTCACAGCGTGTTATTAGCGATTTTACACTGTAATCCAGAAATTTATTTAATGTGACCTAGGTTATAAAGGGCAACCTCAGGAGCAATCCCCCAGTCATTCAATACAAAAATTTTGGTTATTGTTTATTTATGAGCTTTATAGTTGCAAAATACGTATTCTTTGAGTTTTTTTCACTTTTTGCCTAAACTAGGTGTTGTAATGGATAATTTCTGTATAGATTATAAAAATAATTTAAAAGATCTTTAATTTGAGCCGGTATACGTTTATTTCAATTTATTTGTTATTGCAAAAATGACGAATGAAGGTCAAAATTATAAAACATAATATTTATTGCAAAATTGCTTTTTTTTATTTTAATTATATTACATTCAAGCCTATAAAATTACGAATCGAATAAGCCGTAATAGAACTGCCAAAAATAAAATGGTAGAGAGCTAATGCTTGTTGCATCCTCTTCCTAAAGCCGTAATTGTTTCATATTTCACTGGAAAATAATGAAAAAAAAAAATTTTTTTAACCCGTTAAAAATAATTATTTATTAAGTTGTAAAATTCCAGTTATAAACATTTAAATCTGTAGCGCCCCCTTGCAGATTATTGTAGCTGGCTTTAAGACAAATATTTAAAACAAAAGAGTTTTCTACGACCAATAGAAGCCGAGTTAGCATATTTTTTTTAAATCACACAGGCTTTATTAATAATAATTAAGAAACGAATATGGCGATGCTCGGAAAAATTTGCAATATCTCGGTGAAAAATAAACCGATTTCGATGATTTTTTAATCTTGGATAGCTCGTCGAAATAATAACATCTGGAATACTTTCGCCTTTAAAAAACCTCCCCCAACCCACCTTATTTTTTTTTAATTCTTTTACTTATACAATACTATTAACCCGACATTAAAGAGCAATGATGACAGCACGCAACCCTGGCGGACTCAACTCTGTATTTTGATATCTCGGATATTCTAATTGTTAGCTCTTACCTTTGCAGTTTGATTTCAATATAGATTAGATATAATTTACATATCACGACTGTCAATATGTTTACTTTTTATTATATCTACAAGCTTATGTTGAAACTTATTAAATGCCCTTTCAAAGTCTACAAAATATAAGTACATGTCCTGATTCATATCCATGCGTCTTGAACCAGCATATTCAAGCCGAACGAAGCATCTCTTGTGCCCATACCATTTCTAAAGCCAAATTATGTGCCACTTATTTCATATTCAAGAGGTTTATCAATTCTGCTCTGTATTATATTCAAAAATGTTTTAAGTGTGTGACAGCTCTTGTTCTGTGATCTGAGAAGGATATTGCACTTGATTTTGTGGTATCGCCACAAAGGTCGATTGCAGCCCTTGTCTGGAGATTGCGACAGTCTGATATATTAAATTAAAGAGTTCAGCTATTACATCAATACCATCTTCATCAATGAGTTTTAATAATTAGATGGGCACATCATCACGTCCTATCTCGTAGTTCAATCCCATATTTGTTGTTTATTCTATTCATCTGTGTCTTTTTTTAGTTATGGTTAATCAAGAATTATATATTTTTAATTTGTTCTATTAACTTCTCAATTATTTTGCAATTTATCTCAATTTTTCTCGATAACATTTTGCCAGTAGTCTGGGAAAGTTAGTTTTATCAAACAACATATAAAATACAATATTATTATCTACATTTAAAAGCCTTAATTAAGTTTACCTGAGCAGCCATTTCATCATCAGAAAGTTCAACACCAGAATTCTTCATCTCAATTAGCAGTTGAAGAAAATCTGATCTAGAAGTCTTGTTTGCTACTCTGAGATCCACAGTTTCTTTTAAAAGTTTCATGAAGAATTCTTCAATATGATCTTGAATATTTACCATGCCTAAGATTTTTGATAGTTTTGGATAACAGATGGTCATTAAAATGCTAATTTGATTAAATATAGTAAATTTGGTAAACAGTTCCCTTCCCATTTTTCTAAAAATAGCACCTTCCTTGGAAAAACTTTGAGCTTGAATGCCGTAAACCACATCTCCTAAAATAAAAACAATTCTTTTAGAACAAAAATTTGCTTTTAACTTAAAAATAAACGATTGAAGTAGTAAGAGTAAAGTATCCATTTGCTTATAGTTCCAAACGAAGTTACATAAAGATCGAATTATTATTTTATCTTAATAACTTCGCCTGAAATGGTTGTTGTATGGATCACGTAGCATAACAGTCACTCTTGACAGTCCCAGGCACGAATGAAAGAAAAAGGTTATACCGACAGGCCAGAATCTATCCTACATAAAAAACCTCAAAAGCCTGGGAGTAGAGAGAAATCTTTAAGACGGACTAAGCTACAGAAAATAAAATTATTATGAGTTGTAGAATTTGGAGTAAACAGGATCTCTCAAAGAAAATAACTCAAGTAGACAGGTTAAATATTGGTATTGCAGTGCTAATAGAAACCAATAAAAAATATAACGGATCAGAAACTTAAGGAAAATTTATGATCACTTCTATAGTGGTGTTCATAAAGAAAAGAGAGTACGAGGTGTATGGATCATCATATACTGACGATTTAAAAAATACATAACTTGGGAACCACTAAGTGAGTGCATAATAAAAATTAATCTATCAATACAGAGGTCCTAAGAATCGCAATTTCTAAACAAATAGTATGCAGAATAAAATCAATTAAACAATATTGTACTGAGCGACTTTCTGAAATACTTCTTCTTCTTCGCGTGTCAAATCAGAACTATCCGACGTTGGCGATCACCATTGCGAAGGCTTCTCGATCTACGAAGGAGACAGAATGTCATTCTGTCTCCGGCTTCTATATAAAATGTAGCTTCTCCAATTTTAAATTTTAAAGTGTTTGTTTGTCTTTGTTTAGTGTATTTGTTATGTCCCAATTTACATTTATGACATTATGTTACTGCTGGATAGGCCACAACTGACGAAATGCCCCTGAAGATGATCTTGTGATCGAAAGTACTTGGGCAAGATTTGATTAAATACTGTGTTCGATATTTGCCTTGTGTACCATCAAAGTTTAATAATTTTAAGCCTAGAAAATTTTATACAAACTCTTGATATTAAAAAAATATTCAAAAATTCTTGCCAGAGGTTTGGCGCACCTTGTATATATTTGTTTAAAATATGTATATAGGGTCTTAATTGATACATTTGTACAATAAATTTGGTAATATTAGTAAAATCTTCATCGTATGCGTTTCCTGGTTAAACTTTTAGCCCAGGGAAATAGGTTTTTTTGTCGTGAGACTCCGGCCAGGCAACCGACAGTTGTTTTGAGTAGTGTGGACCTCTATAACAAGAACCTATGTCTTTTCTGCAGTCGATTTTTCGGATTTAATTACTTATTATCAAATTAAGGTCAAAAAACGGTAAATTTTGTCTTTTTTCGTCTATCAGCAACAAGTAAACGTTTTAAACAAAAAAGAAGAGAAGAAACTTATAAATCATATAAAAACCTTTAAAATGGCGTTTTTTTAACGTTTCTATCCTTATTTGTTGCTTAGAAAGTTTCAAAATAAGTCAAAAGTTTCGGTGTTTTATAAATGTTAATAACTTTTTCTAAAGTAAACCTTTAATTAGATTGTATTAGACACAATCTTCGGTCTTATGGTGCTTAAAATAAGATCAAAATTTCAAGTCAATAGGTTAAAAGTATTCAAAAGTAATTTATATTCATAAGTAATTTGTTTATTCCAAATTAAATTGTTTTGCAACAATTAAAGTCAGAAAATTAGATAGGTATTTTAAATAAACCAATTGATTCTAAAAGAAGAAGATTTATTCTATTAATACTAAAAAAAAAAAAAATATTAAATATTTCAAAATAATTTGGCAAAAACACAACAATTTTTTGCTTATAAACAATAAGAACAACTTTTTAACCATTGGCCGCAAGAAACTGAATGTATTTACAAATTTAAAAGGAAAAAAAGTTAACCTTTGGGACGAAGTTAGCGCCTTTTTTTATAAATTGATAGCAGCTTTGTTAATAACCTATAAGAGATCTTATTAGGGTCATCTAAAAGAACATACTTTAAGATTTTAATGTGAAAAATTCGAACAAGATTGCATTTTAATTGAATCGTTCACAAAGTTTTAAAATTTTGGTCCACAAAATTGGTCGGCCTTGAGAGCGAAGGAGGGGGAAGGAGCTGTTAGCTGTACGTTTTAGCTCAACGTTTCTTTTTTTTTAATTTGTATGTAATTTTTGCGTACATTACGTATATATATATATATACATATATATATATATATATATATATATATATATATTTATATATATATATATATATATATATATATATATATATATATATATATAATATATATATATATATATCAGTATGTTGGAAATATCGGGGACGTGGTCTATATTAAATAAAAATCTTTGTTTTTTCTAAAACTCAATATTTCGCTATTTATTTAACAGCTTCATCAGGAGTAAAGAACTTAAAAGATTTCACGCATAAATAAACTTGACATTAAAATAAACATTTTTGATAATGTATATGCTTGTTAAAATGTAAATATATATGAGCACGTTCGTTAACAATTGTTAATGAATATAACGAACAATATATATATATATATATATATATATATATATATATATATATATAACACTGTTTTTGATGGGTTGGAGTCAATAAAAGGGGCTATTTGTTGACTATTTTTTACTCGAGCTTTCAATTGTGATTACAATTTTTATCAAGAGCTTCTAAAAAATACAAAATGTCTTACAAAGTTGAACTAGAAATAAAAAATTTTTTGTTAACTCACCAAATAAAATTAGTTTTTTATGTAAAACTACTGCTTACATAATAAATACAAAAAATATTAATAAAAAAATGCCTTATTCTAATAAATGTTTCTCTGAAAAATTTAGATGAAGTTTCTTAAGAAAAAAAAATTGAATTTATAAACAAAAATAGAATAGCTACAACCAGCCTAAAATGACATAAATACTAACTTAAAAATTTTTATTTTTGACATATTGTCAAAAATAAAATTTTGTTTAAAAAATTCTTCTTTGTTAAGTAACAAAAAAGAAGAAGATTTATTCACCATTGATAGATGCCCGAAAAAATGTAACAAATACATGGAAAATTCAAAATGTGATATTTTACTGACTGCATAAATTAAATAGAAATTATATAATTATAAATTTTGCTTAAATTTTGAATTTCTGACCTTTTGTTTAAATTATTATCACTTTTGCTAATACAAACCATTTCCAAAAAAGTTCTTTTAAATTTATTACTTTCATTACATAAAATTTTAATATTATCAAAATCCATAATATGGTCTTTGTCTATTACATGCTCTGCCAAAGCACAAGATGGTTTCTTAATTCTACAATCACTCTTGTGAGAAATAATGCGATTTGAGAGATTTCTTCCAGTCTCATCAATATACTCAGCTTCACACTGAGTACAAACAATGCTGTATACTACATTTGTTTGATCTAATTTGCCTATAGGATATTTAGTTTTGGAATATAAAGATGAAATAGTTTTGATGTTCTTTGTTGCTATTTTTATATTGTCAATAACCTTTAATGTTTGTATTAATTTAGGAGTTAATGATGGTATAAAAGGTAGTGAATGATAATATATGTTTTGATTGTTGGATACAGTGTTTTGAGATTTAGCAAAAAATGGTGTTAAGTTATTTATATTTAATAAATTAGAAAAAAGCATCCTATGTAGCATATCAGGAGGATAAGAGTTTTCAATTAAAATATTTTTTAACAAATGAAGATCTTCTTGTAGGTAGTCTGGATGAGAAAGTTTTAAAACACGTTCCTTTAATCCTGTTATAAGGTTCATTTTCATTTTATTTGGATGATTAGAGTAATAGCTTATAAATCTGTTACTACATATGGGTTTTCTGAACCATCTAGTTTTCAACATATTGTCTGTATTTCTTACAATTCTCATGTCAAGGAATGGTAGAGAATTATCTACCTCTTCCTCAACTGTAAATTGTATATGTTGATTATGATTGTTGAAAATGTTGACTGTTTCAAAAATTTTGTGTTTAGGAAGTGCCAAAACTAGATCATCTACATATCTTTTGATAAATGGAATGAAAAAAGTGCAATTATTGATACAATCACTAATAACATCATCCATGACATAGCTACTTAGAATGGGTGAAAGACTAGATCCCATAGGGCTACCAAAAATTTGTTTATAAAAAACACCATTAAATATAAAAATATTAGAATCAAAAACAAAGTTGATGAGTGTTTTAAAATGTAATAAGTCAATATTAGTATGTTGCGAAATCTCATTCCAATGTTTTTCAACACTACTTATGATTAAATTTAAAGGTAAATTAGTAAAAAGAGATGTTACATCAAAACTAACTAAAACATAATTTTGTGGTAATTGGAAATTATTAATGAAAGAACTAAAATCAAATGAATCTTTTATGTAAAAATTGTTGTTTAAATTATAAGCATTGGTTAAGATGTCAGTGAGGAGCTGTGCTATTGGTCCATTTGGAGGGCATAGAGATGAAACAATTGGTCTCATAGATAAAGTTGGTTTATGTATTTTAGGTAGAGCATAAAACCGTGGTGCAATAGAATTAAAAATTTTGAGTTCTTTTGCTTTTTTATTATCAATAAATTTCTTACTGTTTAATTTTGATACCAGACAATTTGCTTTTTTGTTGTAAAGTACAAACAGGACTCCTTCTAAGTGTAGTGTAATACTTAGTATCATTTAAGAGTTCTCCAGTTTTTTGTAGGTAATCCTCTTTATACATTACAACAGTTACGTTACCGTTATCGCTTTTGACAATATAAATTTCAGGATGGTTTTTTAAAGCGATATATAGATATATATATATATATATATATATATATATATATATATATATATATTATATATATATATATATAAATATATATATATATATATATATATATATATATAAATATATATATATATATATATATAATATATATATATATATATATATATATTTATATATATATAT